AAATTCTAAATACTATCGACCACACCAAATTTCAAAATGATATCTTGAAAAGTAAGCGAGATATTTCAATTAATAGAAAAAAATAATTGAACTTTGACCCCCTGTAGCTCCGCTACTGAACGAGATCGAACTGATGTATGTATATATATGTATAACTTTTCTGATTAATATGATGAGATCTACCTCCCATTTCAGTTTGTGCTCTAAAGCCTGAATCACCCTGTATACAGTATGATGGAAATGTATGGAATAAATTCATTATCTCCAACGCATATGAATTTGAAGAAAGATCATGATACAGGTCGATTTTTATTTTCAAATTGACACCTCCTGATATACATACAAAGTTTGTAACGTCATCCCCTCTTTATTTTGTTTTTAGAAGGTATATTCGTTGTCTATCCAACCATGTACTGATATTAGCAAAATCAAGTAATACAGGGTGAAAAAATATTGATTATTTTATATTTACAACGGAAACAATTATAATTAATGAAAAACTCGATCTGTTTACATCAGAAACAATGTATATCGCCATTCACATTGTATCATTGCAGAAGGTCACCAATTCGAACATTCATTGTAACGGTTTCCGTTGTAAATATAAAATAATTAATAATTTGTTCTCACCCTGTATTACTTTATTTTGCTAATATCAGTGTATGGTTGGATAGACAATGAATATACCTTCCAATAAAATAAAAAAAGGGATGTTTCCATTTGAAAAAATAATCGATGACGTCACCACAACTACGCGGATGACGTTACAAACTTTGTATGTATATCAAGAGGTGTCAATTTGAAAATAGAAATCGACCTGTCTCAGGATTTTTCTTCAAATTCATATGCGTTAGAGATAATGAATTTATTCCATACATTTCCACCATACTGTATATATATATATACAGGGTGGCCTTGAAATGAGTGCAAATATTTCAAACACAGAGAAAGCTCGACGTGTACTATCGAATGGCACAAATAAAAAAAATTTTGGGATCGAAACAAAATTTGAGGTTAGACCCCTTTTTCCATCCACACGTCACCTCTGTTCAAATTTCCATGCGGTAGGCATAATCACGGGGAGTTCAATCATTTAAATTGTTTTAAAATGGCCTACTTAATTTTTTTCTCATATTTTGTTCAATTTTCGGGATGAAATTTCTCGTTAATTAGAAGAATAATTGGAAAAAATCTGATATCATGGGAATATTCCTTAGACTGTATCATATTGATATGCTGAACACAGGGTGTAAATTTGAAAACTTTCAATGCGAATATCTCGCGAAATAAAAAAGTTAGAAAAACGCCGTTTGGCAAAAATACTAAAGAGTTAAGGGGAACTAGAACCACCATATTTCGGTCAAGGGATGAGTCACCCCGTCGGCGCGACACACCCCAACTTTGAAATGTCAAATGGCACTACCTGTTTTCTGATACCTCAAATGAACGGTCTCAGTCAGTAGTATTTATCTGTACAAGACTTTTTTTTCCACCCACTACTAGGGTGTACGAAAAACATAAAGTCGAGGGTCTAAATTTGAAAACTTTCAATGCGAATACTCCCTAAATAAAAAAGTTAGGAAAACGCCGTTTGGCACAAATGCTACATAGTAAGGGGGAACTAGAACCACCATACTTCAGTAAAGGGATGAGTCACCCCGTCGGCGCGACACACTCCATCTTTGAAATGTCAAATGGCACTACCTCTTTTGTGATACCTCAAATGTATGTACAAGACTTATTTTCCACCCACTACAGGGTGAACGGAAAACATAAAGTCGAATAAAATAAAATGCAGAATGCCGATATATTCCAAGAGATGTGTTCCAAAATGTTAGAATGGCATTTGAACATCGATTATACTATTGCTTACAACAGAATGGAATGCATTTTGAACATCTGATCAAATAAAATATCCTTTTAACACAATTCATTTTATTTTATTCGACTTTATATTTTTCGTACACCCTGTAGTGGGTGGAAAAAAAGTCTTGTACAGATGAATACTACTGACTGAGACTGTTCATTTGAGGCATCACAAAAAAGGTAGTGCCATTTGACATTTCAAAGTTGGGGTGTGTCGCGCCGACGGGGTGACTCATCCCTTGACCGAAATATGGTGGTTCTAGTTCCCCTTAACTCTTTAGCATTTTTGCCAAACGGCGTTTTTCTAACTTTTTTCTTTTGCGAGATATTCGCATTGGAAGTTTTCAAATTTACATCCTGTATATGCACTTATATCAAAAAAACCTTGTTAGGTTTTGGAACGAAAAATATTGAAGGTTCATTTTCGGCTGTGGTTTTGCGCGAGAATGGAGGTAAAAACAGTGGAACCAAAGCAGATCGCAAAAAATCTTGTACGACAACTGTGTGCCTCGATTTGCCGGCTATTCAGTATTGGTTTGACCGTCGGACTTGCCAATTTCCAATCCAAAACCGCCGGCATTCGTTCGATACGAATTTCGCTTCTTCACTATTTCCGCTATTTCCGCTTATATCGCTAATTCGCCAAAGTGCAACAGTGAGCTCTGCATAAGCTATAACGTTGCTGCTTTTTTTTTCTACGCTTTAAGAACAGTGCTACACTTTGAAGATCACCGGCATCCAGGGAGCTCCCGAGAAGCGACAATTCCAGCATTTTTGGGATTACCCTAGCAGATACGGCTGATCGTCTATGGTAAGCTGTTTTGACTCCTCGCTTTTCCATACCACAAGTCGAAAGTTAATTTGCGCCTTTGGTTAGAAGCAATTCATTTTTCTTGTACCACATTTGAGCTATTGAATGCCGTTGTGGCGTACACACCTTGTTTTATATACGGTATGATATCTTACATTATTTCGGTTTTAATAGATCTAGAATGCTTTTGAAATGTTTTCAGTGTAGTACCTTATACTTGGCAGAAGTTGTTCAGAATCAACGTCTGATTTTTGTACCGAATTTAGAATTCTTCAGCCACCTATGATATTTCAATGATTCAAATATTTGTGACTGAAAAGCTACTATCTTGACAAAAAATAAAAAAAAATTAATAATTACAGTCGGCCGAGTATAATCTTTCATGAGGAAAAATACTGTACGGGGCTAGTTTTATTAATATGAACCCTCCTTCATCATCTTTGTTTTCTATCCATTCAAGAAGATTCAAAACTGATTTTTTTACGATATTCTATATTGGTTTCAATCATATTAAGAGAGTGTTGCAATATATCTTCAAATATACGGGGTATACAGAAATATATTGATTTTTTTCATGGAATGCGCTTTATATTTTAATAGATGAAGAAGATCCTTCTATATACAGGGTGTTTCGAAAAAACCTAACCTTCTTGCTAGGGTAGGTAGAACATTGCAAAATAAGTTGGGTTTGCTCAGTAAAAAAATGTAACGTCATCCGTTTTCAAGATACAAGGTGTTGAAACAATATTTTTTATACACATTTTTCACGATTATGTCTAAACTACTGACAACATTGTAATGAAATTTTGTATGGATGTTTCTTGAAATCTGACACATCGCATGAATTCATTTTTATATCTGACTCTCATAGAGGGCGCTAGTTACACGGTTCGTACCGAGTAGTTTTGAACATAACTTTTTTGAGGAAAGATTTTTCAATCCAAATTTGATGTGAACTTGAACATCATTCAATTTTACACCAAAAAGGTACTCCTGGTAAAACTCGATACTGTGTTTCGTTTTCGGAGTATTTCGATTTGAAAATGATGAAGTGGTAACTGTTGCTGGTATAAAGCTATATATTAGAGTGAGTATTATGAAAAATTATCACCTATTTATTGAAAACCGAAAACAACAATACATTTCTGATGCAAAACTCATTGATTCAACAATGAATCACAAGAATAAAATCGAAACATGGATTACACAGTTTTTTTGTATCTTGAGCAGAAAGTCCATGCTACATAGGTAAATTCGCGTCAAGAGTTGTGAGACATAATTGAACATCACTTAAATGACCTAATAGTTGATCCTCAACTGTTCAGAAGAATAATACATTCTTGAAAAAAGAATATAGAATCGTGTATTCCACGAAACGTAGGACATTTTGAACACTTACTCTAACTGATTCAATATTTCATGTTTCTAGTCAAATATCTCTTAATTTTCTACTTATGATCCTTTGTTCCATCAATAACTTCAGCACAGGAATAATTTTATTGTTTTTGAACCTGAATAAATAGGAAATTGAACTCAATAAAATTTATCTTATACCAGCATCATTACTACTCCATTATTTTCAAATCGAAATATTCCGAAAACGGAACATAGTATCGAGTTTCACCAGGAGCACCATTTTGGTGTAAAATTGAATTAAGTTCAAGTTCATATCATATTTGGATTGAAAAATCTAACCTCAAAAAAGTTATGTCCAAAACTACTCGGTACGAACCGTGTAACTAGCGCCGTCTATGACAGTCAGATATAAATACAAATTCATGCAATGTGTCAGATTTCAAGAAACATCCATACAAAATGTCATTACAATATTGCCAGTAGTTTCGGAATAATCGTGAAAAATGTGTGGAAAAATAATTTTTTCAACACCTTGTATCATAAAACGGATGCCGTTACGACATTTTTTCACTGAGCAAACCCAACTTATTTTGCAATGTTCTACCTACCCTAGCATGGGGGTTAGGTTTTTTTGAAACACCCTGTATATGTTTAAAATCAGGATGAATTAAAATTTTTCGAAATACACAGGGCGTTTCATTTCAAAAATATATTTATTTCTGTATACCCTGTATATTTGAATAGATATTGCCATTGTCAAAATGAGTGAAATCTGTGCGAAAAATTGTATAAAATCAGTTTTGAAATTTCTTGGGTGGGTGAAAAAAAAATGAGATAGAGAGGGGTTCACATAAATGAAACTAGCCCTGTACCTATAAATGAGTTTGTTTTTATCTTCTGGAGCGCACGAAAGGGAATCCCTATTATGGTCTGGGAGAAAGTGGTGACTTACCTACTACCTACATACCTAAATACTTATCAACAAACAAACTTGGTTTTTCTGGAAGCACATCGGTCATAATTTGTTTCCAATATCGATTCGGAGGAAAAATCATTTGAAGATTTGCAAGAGCTATCGTCTTACACACACTCGCCAAACCATGGACGCATTCCTTCGGTGTATCCTTAAATATCATTCAGTCAAAATAGAACTGAAATATTCGAAAACAATGAAAAAGGAGTTTATAACAAATAGAACTGAAATATTCAAAAACAATGAAAAAAAAAAGTTTATAACACTGTCACAGCCATTTTGACACAATCAGATGACAATCATAGAGTATTTAATAACTATTTATCAACTATTTTTCAACATAAAATTCTCAAATTCTTCTATCCGTCATTCGGTTGCCCCCTTCCCTAACAACACAGAGATGTCCTAGGTACGTCCCTTTTTTGTCCCGCGGTACAAGGACATGATTGGGACATCCAGGGGATGTCCTGCAGTGGTTGTCCAGTGGACATCCCGCCCGGTACATCCCTAGGTTATCCTATTCGTGTCCCTGGAGTATCTGATATCCATTCACATCAGTCATTGAATTTCATCAAACTATTGAGTTGAATTTTTTTGAAAATGTTTGTTTCTCTTCCAGAAAATGAGTGTAATGAAAATAAAGAATAAAGTCTCAGAACTTCTTAAGAAATTACCATTTTTCGCAGACAGAAATCGTACATGCATAATGCCCCTCATTTTTAAACACCCAAGAATGATAATAATTATACCCAATTCCTAATAAAGTTGTATTTATTCAGGTTTCTGTAGTTAAGTCCTGTTTATAAATCTGTTTAGTACATAAATCTTCAGGCCAATGGAGCAAGGTGCGTGCATGATAAGCCAAAGGTCCCGGGTTCAATCCCTACTCGACCTGCAACTTTTTTTCTTTTGTCGAAAGGATGTCCCTGGGATTTGCTTGGGACGTCCTAGGGATATCCTTTCATCGTACTTGGTACATCCCAGGGACGTACCAGAAGGACATCCCTTGGATGCCTATTTTGGCGGCCAGCGGATGTCCCTGGAACATCCCTAGTATGTACGTTGTCCCGACAAAGGACATCCCTGGGATTTTCTAGTATAAAATCAGGGACGTCCATGGGAAGTCCCTAGGATGTACTGGTGTTGTTAGGGTTACGAGCAACCCTCAGAAGTCTTCGAGAGCCTTGTGCGAGCAAAGAATGACGGGGGTGTTACCTTTTGTGATCCCAAACACCACCAGTCGATGGGAATCGAACCCACGACCGGCAAGCGAATGCGGATTAGAACATTGACATTCTGTCCGCGCGGCTACCTGGCCCCTGAATTTTTTCACTCAAACGATTAGCGATAAAATTATGTTGTGCCATTTTAATCTCAAGCTAGTACAACCATTTCATAACTTTTCAAATAAATTATGGAGATGATTCAAACGCAATTTCGAAGTTGATAACTCTGGAACAGTAATGATATGAATTTTGCAATTCAACTCAGGTTAGAATCAATATGACTGCTGATTGGCACTGTAGCGAAACCAATACGAGATTGCTATTGTGTTTTAATGCAAAGCAATGTGCCATCTGACGGCATGTATCACGTGATCATCAAGTGTGATTATTTGGTAGTATAGTATTGAAAGTTATAATAAATGTTCATTCAATTATATGACTGAATATCATATGATTATTTGTTTATACAACCGAATATGGTAGAAACATATCTTCCGAGTCGTTCTGGCCAAATTAATATTATGACATATCACACTTGGCGTCAAAAACATATCATTTTTGACAGAATGACAGCGCGGGAAAATGAAGGTTGAAATCCCAATATTCCAGTCATTTCCCGAAATAATCACCCCAATTGTATAGCATTTCATATTTTATCATTATCCCCAAGGATACTTCCCTGTGTCCGAATCCTCGTTTCAAAATTATTTAGTTGTTTCTAGTTTTTGTTGAATACCGAAAGAGGCGAGCTCCCGTTTTTATAATAAAGTAAAAATTTCGAACGTTGTGGCTCTTGGGAGTGTTCAGTTCAGTGCGTAAAATATATCCAAGCTGACATCGTCAACCAAAAAGTTTTCCCCAATTTCGAAAGTGTTTGCCATTGACTGCACAGAATCTTTGTGTTTTCATCTGTCCGGAAATATGATTATTTCAGCAACAGTGTGCCTGATCTGTCAGGTGAGTTACGTCATTAAAATATATTGCTTATAGTTTACTGGACTCGATTATTTTTGCTACTTATTTGTTGTTCGATGCTCTTGGTGATGAGTGTGGACTGTATTTCGATCGTTGAATAAAAACTGATATGATATGAAGAATAAAAGGGAAATTGCAACCGATTGCAATTTCTCTCCCAACCTTATTGATTCAATCTTATGTTTCAACAACACGTCGTCATGATAACAACAAATGAAATCCTATCCTATATAGGGTAATACCACTAGCAACTACCATTATACAGGATCATACAGGTAAAGTACTGGACATACATGGTGTCTTAACTACTTGACCTAGATATAACATAAAGGGTGATGTACAAAGTACCAAACATGCCGCCCCCTTGAAAGATTATAACTTTCAAAATACTAAATAAATAATTACATTACAAATATAACAGACAATGAATTATGTGGTACATTCTTCTAAGGGCAATACACATATCTTGTTGACTGGACGTTTCAAGGTACCCTCTTGTGTCTTCAGTGTCACAACCCGAACAACATCGTCCATGCCGGGATGAATTTCAATAATGCGCGCCAATTTCCATAACAATGGCTGCACGAAGTCTTCCTTTATCAAAACTAACTGACCAATCTGCACCTGCTCAGATAAACGTCTCCACTTTGTTCTCTGCTGCAGATGGCAGAGGTATTCTGACGACCAACGTTTCCAGAAGTGCTGGGTAAGCTGTTGAAGCTTCTGATAGTGATTAAGTCGATTTTCTGGTATAATGCATACATCCTCTTGTGGAACAGAAGTCAACATTTCCCCAATCAAGAAATGGCTCGGACACAGAGCAGCTAAATCATTCGGATCACTAGTAAGCGGTGCCAATGGTCTCGAATTGAGCATTGCCTCCACCTGAGTCAGTACAGTATACAATTCTTCATAAGTTAGAGGTACTCTAGATAATATTCTTTTCATATGAAATTTATCAGATTTTATTGCTGCCTCCCATATTCCACCAAAATTTGGTGCCCGAGGAGGAATGAATTTCCACTCGATTGAATTGTTAAATAAATAATTCTTGAAGGAAATATCATTTTCAAGATTTTTAAAAATGCCTTTCAACTCGTTTGCTGCACCTATATAATTGGTACCATTGTCACTGAATATTTTCCTACATATACCACGTCTGGAAACAAATCTTTTGAGAGCGTTTAAAAATGCAGCCGTAGTATACTCTGTAACTAATTCAATATGAACAGCTTTTGTAGCAAAACAAATAAAAATACACACATAACATTTTATCAGTTTACGATTTCTGGTTTTTCCATCTTTTAGCAAAAATGGCCCAGTATAATCCGTTCCGACTATAAGAAACGGCCTCGAAGGCTTGACCCTATTTTCTGGAAGATCACCCATCAAATTTTGACTACTTAATGGTCGTGCCTTGAAACAAATTATACATTTGCGTAAAATTTTCCGAATCGTATTACGACCGTTTAACGGCCAATACCTTTGTCTAACAGCCACTAAAGTTGTCTGATTTCCAGCATGTAAATGTCTGATATGTTCATATTCTATAACCAATTTTGTGAACAAGTGATTACTCGGTAGAACTATTGGATGTTTATGGTAAATGTTAAGATTAGATTTTATCAATCTTCCCCCTACTCTGAGTATTCCGTGATTATCCACGAATGGATTAAGACTTAATAATTTGCTCTGATGAGGAATCTGATTCCCGTTTTTTAAAAAATCAATTTCTTGATGAAATTCCCCTTGTACTATTTTCAAAAGAGCCCTTGTAGCATTTTCAATTTCAGAAATCTTCAGAGATGAGTAGTTCTTTTCTTTATTTTTCAAATTTTGAATAAACCTCAAACAATATGCAGTTACTCTAAATAGCTTAGTTAAACTTGAAAAAAGTGTAAATATGCTTTGATCTAGTACTTGGGAACTCAAAGTAACGATAATCGTTTTCTTTTCTGGAATATCTTTCAACCTTTGAAATGATCCTGATGGCCATTCGGAAGTCTTTAAAGAAAGCCATGGAGGACCCTTCCACCACATCTCAGATTTTGATAAAAATAGAGGACTTGTTCCTCGTGAAATGATATCAGCAGGATTTTCATCGCTTTTAACATGTTTCCATTGACAACATTTAGTATATTTTTGAATCTCTGTTACTCGGTGAGCTACAAATATATTTAAAGAATTTGGTTCTTAATTTATCCACGATAAAGTTATTGTTGAATCACACCAATAAAAACAATGAATATCCATATTGAGAGCCTTGAGTACTTTCTGAACTAGTTGTGATAAAAGTAGTGCACCACATAGTTCTAGACGAGGAAGTGTAATTGTTTTTAAGGGTGCTACTCGAGATTTAGAACAAATGAGTTTAGTGAAACAGTTTCCATTTGAATCAGTTGATCTGAGATAAATGCAACAACCGTATGCCTTAATAGATGCGTCTGAAAATCCATGCAGTTGGATATCAATACAATTTACTGAACTAACGTGTCTAGGAACAACAATATTTTTTACGTATTGTAATTGATCGTAAAATTTTTCCCAATTTGTAAGTAGATGGGAAGACACAATTTCATCCCATCCCAATTGCTGCTGCCACAAGTTTTGCATTATCAATTTTGCCTCAACTATTATCGGTCCTATCAAACCTAACGGATCGTAAATTTTTGAAATAGACGAAAGAATGAAACGTTTGGTAATACGATTAGTTCCTCCTGTGAAATTCATCTTATAAGAAAAAACGTCTTCGCTAGCATTCCAGAATATACCGAGTGTTTTAATATCAACATCGTCTGTTATATAATATTTTACCTCTTGATTTTCATCTTTTTTCAATATTTGCGCATTATTTGATGCCCATTTTCGAAGTACAAAACCGACAGAACTCAGAACATTCTGTATATCTGCTTTGAGTTTTTTCGCTTCTTCTATAGTGTTTGTGCCTGTA